GTCATTGACCACAGTTTATCACAATGCAACAGCTCCCCTCCCACTTCCTCCCCATAGTTACCTCTTCCCAGTGTCCATCCCTCCATACACTTCTGCCCCCCTGAGCTGTCTCCCTGTGCATAAGCAGCCCTTCTTTCTCCCATGATTTTTCTTTCCAAAGAGTGTATCTACTTGAGGTAAATGTTCAACTCATATGCCTATATTTTGTTTGGCTGGAAACCACAGGTGTGTGTTCAGTTCCAGACATGAAGGGCAGCTAGGGGCCATAGTCTCAGTGGTTCCACCAGGCTCTATCAGACCAGCAAACCTGGTACCCACTTTTTTTTTTTTCCTCCAAATGATTTTGAGTTTTGTTCCACATTCTGAACATTCTTTCAAACATGTTTCTTGGCCAATCAACAATCCTTTACTTTGGCTTTTTTATTCTTAGCTTTCCCCATTTTTAAAATTGTGTTTTCTAATTGACTTGAATGTCATTCTGGATACTTTGCTATATCGGTTTAATTATTTCCTCCTAGACTGAATGTAGCATTTTTTCTTTTCCTTTGGTGTGTGTGTGAATCAGTTTTACAATTTCTAGGTTTTCAGTTGTATAAATTGTCAATAAAATTTTACTTATTTTCCAATTTTTATGCTTACTACTTTATTTAATTTTATTATTGCAATAGCTAGACTCTTCAGAACAAGGTTGAATATTATGGTGACAGCAGGCATCTTTTTTTTTTTTTTTTTTTTCCAAATTTAGTGGAAAATTTCCCAACATTAATCATTTTCTATAATGTTCACTCTTCATTTAAGGATACTTTCTCTTTTTGCCTCTAAGTAATTTCCTTCACTATATGTGGGGAGAGGAAAGATGCCTACTTCTTTTTTTGAAAATGGCTGCTAAATTTTGTCCAAGCCCATTTTCTTATCTGTTACTATAATCTTACAGTATTCTTAAATTTATTGATGTGTTGATTTGTGCTTAATTTTTTAAATTTTAAACATTTTTTGTAATATACTATGATTTTGGGTCATACTTCTAAATTCTATTTGGTAATACTTTAATTAGAATTTTCCTATCTATAGTCATAAGTGGGAGCTCTGGTAGTATAGTGCCTAAGGCACTTGACTGCTAACCAGAAGGCTGGCGGTTCA